TAATACTATCTGATTCCTCAAGTTCTGAACAAACATCTGGTTCATCAAGCTCATCACAACCAACTACCACAACTCGATGCACACATTTAATATATACTTACTTTGTATATGTAGAGAACCAGATCAACTACACACCCACTCTAATAACTGTTCACCTATCGGTCAGGCTAGAAGGAAATATGACTTCTGGTCAGCCCATGGGCTAAATATAGTGCTTCATTGAATTTTATTTCTTCTATTATAACCTAGGTGAGCTTTGACCACTTTAGTAGGTTTAGGTCGCAGATAAACTAGTCTGAGCTTTTATTCTTGTAATATAGTTTTATTTTTTATTTGTATTTTTACAAATTATAGTAACAATATACTAGTTGATTATTCAACCTGTGGTTACTATTACCCAATAAAATTATTAATAAAGATATGAGCAAGTCCTCACCTTAATACCAAAAAAAAAAAAAGTAAGTAAGTATATGTATTAGTATATTTGGTTTTAAATTTTTATTTAATTTTTAAATTATATATCTTTATATCTAATAATATATATTTTAACAATTGACTGTGTTAATTTATTGGTGGCTAAATTATTGGTAAGAGTATAAACTTAATATATAATTATAATTTGTTAATTTTTAAATTAAATATTTTATCTAACATTTTATATTGTTAATAGAAGGTCTTGTCAATAATATGCAACCTCTTAAATTATTAATGAATTTTAAGGAACCAACATGAGTTTGTCTAGATTAAGGCTTATATATATGAATTTTTAGTATGAAGTGATAATATAAGATGATGATTACTTGATTTTGGCTTTGTCATTTTTGGTTTTCCTTTTTCCAACGCAATTTTATTTTTTTTACTATTATTTTTCTTTTCTTTTTATTTATTTCTATTTTTTTAACTTTCTTTTTTTTATAATATTTTTTTATTATTATTTTTTTTCTATACTTTTTTTACTAGTTTTTATTTATTTATTTTTTTTATTATTTTTATGATCAACATTATATAACTCTTTTTTAATATTATACAATCAATGTATTATGTAATACAAGAGTCAATAACTTTTATATTTTAAAATTAAATTTTATTTAATTTGATTATTTATAATTTTTTAAGATTTAAATTATTTTACAAATTATTGCTTATATAACTTTCTTAAGGTTATATAAACTATATAATAAAATAAGAGTTAATAACATTGATTATAATTAATTTTCATCTGTAGTGATATCACCTAGTATTATAAAATTTTTAATAAAAATTAAATAATCTTAAGATTAGGGTTTGGGTTAGTTTTATGCTAGAGTAAAAGATATTATTTATATGTAAAATTTGATGTTGAAACTTTTTGCTTAGAAGTTAAAATGTAGTTTTCATGATAAAATTTTGTTATTAGTTTTTTTTTTATATATTTGCTTTGTTTTAATTACACAAGAATCTTAACCGCCCACCCACTTACACCATTTTCCTTACCAAACTCTACTAATTACTGTAATACTGTATAATCCAATGATACAATATTAGACCATGCAAATTTTTGTCTTTTACGCGCTTTACTAATCCAACAAGATAAAGCGCACTAAAGCTGTGAAACTTGAGAATTAGATAAGTCAAGAGTAATTTAATGAATCACTAATAGAGCATGGTGATAATCATATGTGCTGTAAGCATATTGTGAATGCTCTATAATTCAATTCTTGAATGTGTGCAAAGTATGTGGAGCAGGCGAAATCTTTTAAAGCTTGTTTATGTATTAAGGATAGTTAATAGTAAATACAGTGAAAAATCGCACAAGTTATAGTACTAAAGGTGATTTCTTATGCATGTTTTCGAGTAATAAACGATTTTTGATAAACAAACGTTTGTTTTGAATTGCTTGATCGTGTTATGTTACGCCTAATATTGAGCCACAACCCTGGCACACATTTAAGCAGTGCTTAGTGCCATTTTTGCTATTGCTAAATCTAGCGGCGGCTTTTTGATACTGATCGATGTTTTACTTTAATACACTTAAGACTCCATAGTTGAAAATTGCTCTTTGTAGTATAATAACATATTGACGTAGAAATTACATAATTTAATCGTCACTAGTTTAATCAATGAAGCATATGAACTTTCATAAATAAATTTGTATCTTTAAAAAAATTAATATAAGGCAAATAAAAAACATTATATTTTAACGGGAAAACATATTGCAAAGTACGGTACTGATTAGCTCAAGGTATTGTGTCAAGATAATGATTTTACAAAAAGCATAAAATAAATTTCAAAACAAAAAGACAAATGAAAACGAAAATTCTATTATCTAAAAAAATAAAAAAATCAATATTTTTAACAAACATCTAAATAACCCCAGTTTCTTTTAAAAGATCTATTTTCTCATTAGTATAATGTAATAAATCAGTTAAAATTTCACGTGTATGTTGTCCAAGTGTTGGAGGTGGTGGTCTTATTTTCAATACTTCTCTACTATATTTAACAGGAATACCTAAAAATCATAACGAAAAATGAATATTACAAATAAAATAACAATTTATTTCAAGTATCTTAATATGAAGTATTTGACCTGTTAGTTTAATTTTGCCAGCTTTAGGATGATCAACTTCTTGTATCATTTCAAGAGCAAGAATTTGAGGATGTTCAAAAATTTGCTGAATATTATTAATTGATTCCTTATCAGATAATAAAGATAGCCAATGATCAGTAGTTTCATTCATGAATCTTTCCTCTAAAAGTGAAATTTATTCTTTACGATGAAATAAACGATCCGAATTTGTAGTAAATTTTGAATCAATTATTAATTCATCTTTGTAATTAATTGTATTGCATAAAATTTTAAATTGTTTATCATTTCCAGCACCAATCATAATAAAACCATCTTTCGTTGGAAATACTTGATATGGAACAATAGAGGGATGAGATGTACCCATTTGTTTAGCTTCTTGATTTGAAATGAGATAATTGCTAGCAATGTTTGCTAATGAAGCAACTTGACATTCAATAAGTGAGCAATCTATCCTTTGACCAAGATTTGTTTTGCTTCTTGATATCAGTGCGGCCATAATCGCTCCATGTGTGTAAAGTCCTTTATCATTATAATGAAAGTTAAGAACCGATTTAATTCAAATTAATCTATTTAATGTTAAAAGATATTAGCATAATATACCTGTTGTTAAACTTTGTCAATTAAAAAATTTAGATAATTAGTAATAATCTTAATAATCTCGTAATCTTAACATTCAAAGGATTATATTATTGTATCAAAAAAAAATTATACCTGTTATAGCTACATCAACCTTTACGGGTGAACCGTCCTCTTCACCTGTAATATACATTAAACCAGCCTCTGTCTAAAGAACTTTTGATTATTTAATTGAACCAATAATTAGAAAAATAGTATCAACCACCTCTATCACGACGCCATATCCAGCATGAATAAGGTCCTGTTTGGCTATAACCTTTTATAACAGTACGTTTGAGACTTTGAATTTAAATTGACTTAAAAGTATACTGATTTTATCTAAAAAAAAAAAGAATCAATAATTTTATACCAGTGACTGAAACATAGATTAACTGTGGATTAATTTTGCTCAATTCATCAAAACCTACTCCCATTTTATCCAACTTTCCAGGAATGTAATTTTTCACTAATATGTCACTCTGCTTAACCAAATCTTTTATTATATTTATACAAGGGTGACTTTAAATTTACAGTGATTGATTTTTAATTGACAAAAAAAAGCAAGCACTTTCTGGTGTTGAAAGGTCATTAGGATCTTTATTTGTTCCCAAGGTGATCCCCATGTACGAGCATCATCATAATTTTCTACCTTTATTACTTCAACCCTAAATAATATATATATAAAATATTATTATAATTACTAAATTATTAAAATTCACATAATTCTAAGACATTTAATATTAATCTTGACATATTCATGCAAGTTAGATTTTAAATTTTCGGTATAAATTTACCCCAAATCTCCCAATAACATTGTACAATAAGGCCAAGCTAAATTTTAAACGAAGTATTATTATTGCTGTTGTTGTGAAACAAAATGTCAATTCACACCTAATACACGTGTAAGATCCCGGACAAAGGTCCGTTAGAGATGGATTCATGAACTTGATTTAAACATACAGCACTTGTGCTGTAAAGTTCATTCCAGTTATTGTAAATAAGAGACTTCCTCTTATAGTTCAGTATAAATGGTAAATGTTTTTGCAAATAATTTTCTAAGGCCCATTTTTAATTAATGTATATAGAATACAAACATTAACGTTGATTCAAAAAAAATTTTATGCATTGAGTATACAGTACACAGGATATGTACCGATAATTTCATCATTCCATATCAATACTAGTTTAAACATAAGATTTCATTTTCATGGGTGGTGCTTATTTCACCGACAATCACTTCGCTGACAGCCCATTTCACCGACAGTCAATTCACCGACAAGTTTATTCCACCGACAGTTATTTCACCGACAATCATTTCACCGACAAAGTAATTCTGATCATTTCATTAGGGTCAGATTAGAATTAGAGTTAAGGTTAGTGCAATTTTTTAAAAAAACTTGTCGGTAAAATGAGCTGTCGTTGAAATAGTTGTCGTTGAAATAAACTTTGTCGGTGAATTGATTGTCGGTGAAATGAATTGTCGGTAAAATGATTGTCGGTGAAATGATACGTATCCGATTTCATTCGCTGCTATATAAATGAATATGCGCGATTGTTTAAATAAAACAGAATATCTAGTCAAACTTGATAACATGTCAAAATTGATAACATGCCAAATTGATAAAAAATTAATTCACCAAGTCAATTTCTGTTATGTAATATAGTTTATTATGTTTTCAAATCTGACATTTGCGCAATAATTTTCTCTTTAATTAACGTTGTTAATTTGTTTTTCGTACCCATTATGATATTTTCCTTTTCTATTAGTGATAATAAAAGTTCTATATAAAGGGGTTAATAGGAGGCACTATTTATTTTTTTCTCTCTCTAATAAACTAAACATAATAAAGTCGCTTGTACCACGATCGCTTTTGCTTGCTTTATTTATTTTTATGTTTATGTTGTTAAATCTTGACGAACGTATCATGGTTCTCTTACAAAAATGTTGCATGATTTTCACGTTATACCTAGATAAGCAACCCTTTTTTAATGGCTAGGGTTAGGGCAAGCGCTTAGCATTGTCTTTTTTCATTTTAGGGTAATAGGAAAAGTAACTTTGGTTTGACAAATTTTTTCTTTTACAAACAGTATGTGCTATCATGATATTTTACACGTTCGCCTTAATTTGCGTTTTCTGCATTATATGCGAGCTTTTCTTGTTTTGTATACTGCATATGTTGCATTACTATTTTTTTCAGTTTTATAACTGACTAACTTTAATTTAAATATAATGGAAAATGTGGTTGAAATCGATTAGATGAGCAAAATGTATATGACGAAAAATTGGCATTATGTTTATGCTAGCATGACGAAATTTAGATTTTCTTAACCTCTTAATTTTAGTTAAAAGTTAATTTACTGTGGCATGATTAGTGCTCCGCACAATCAAACAAAAACTTGATACTCAAATACTTGTGAATAGTCGACATCAAATAATCACACTTTAATACACATATTATTAATACGTACGTACTGTACATATATTACTGGTTTGATTTATGATTGTTTGATGTCCGACTAATCACAAGTATTTGAGCGTCAAAATTAGGTATGATATAATGAAAATTATTCTCTTTAGTCTTTTTTTAATAAATGTCTTTTTTTTTTATTTTGAATTTTACTAAGCGATGGATGACGAAAACGCACTTGAACAATTTATTAATTCAACTAAACTTACCTCTTCAAGTTCAATATCTCAAATGCATTTGTTTCTGAAATACTTATGGAAATAACAAACTAGTGTTGTTAGGCAAAACCTAGAGGTTTTGCCATTGGCAAAAGTCAAAACTAGTTTCGACTTTTGCCAAAAAA